ATATCAGTATATAAAATTTTATTATAGATATCAATATATAAAATTAATTTAATTAAAGGTTGTTTTTTTTTTTAGAATATCAGTATAAAGAAAATATATTGGTATAAAAAAATGACTTTAATTAAGAATAGTTTTGAGAAAAATATCGGTATAGTGAGATTTTAATAGGTATCGGTATAAAAAATATCGGTATAAAGAGGTTTGACTGTATATAAGCCATTTCTAGGTTACTATTGATATGAATTATTTTCAAATTACTATTGATATTAGCCATTTTTTTTTTTTTTTAATTGACTAAAGGCATTAAATACGAGACATTTATTAAACATTTGTTTTGTAGTCATTATATTAAACATCTTTACAAAGTAGACTATTGCTATCCTAAATACAAATTAATGCTACTTGATAATTACCATTTCCAGTAATTCTAATTTCCTCTAGACCAATTATGACATATCCAGCTATATAAATTTTTAAACATCAAGTATATGATCTACATGCCAGGTGGGACTTACATAGGGAGTGGAAATCCTATCACTAGTTTAAATCACCTAATCTATTAAGTCCAGTCTCAACTGTATTCATTATAGGTAGGGCATATTGATGAATATCATTATAGAGATTAATTCCAGTATTCCATTTACTATTATCACTGATTCTTGAGATATACCACTAGCATAGTACAGTACTACCATTTTCACTACCTATGGAATTGGCATCCTTGCTTAGATTCCGATTTAATATTATAAATCCTTACTAAACTTACTTGGCTTAATGATTTTTATCTAGTCTTCTTATCACTTGTGGCTAATATCTTGCCCATCGATCATATGATTAAGTTCTGTGGAACACCACTATTGGAATAGATCTACAAGTTTCAGATTGGAATAGATCAACTTAGAATTAACCTCTTTATATTGTGTGCCGGAGTCTACCATTGCCAGTTTGGATTAGAGTTTGTGGGCTTATTACCGGAGTTAGATCAGAAGCTTTTTTTTATGCAACCTTTCTTGCTTCGACTTGTTTTCAGCCCATGATCGTCAAAAAGACCAAAGGTTCCATCTTTATGCAACCTAACTAAATTTGAAGAGAATAGATTGTCAGCTGATTGGATATGACATGAATTGAAAGCTAGTCAACCAATCATAAAGGTAATAAATTTTTTGTAACCAGGCAGAATTGAATTTTAAACCTTCTCCTGATAACCTATGGAGCACTACCACTATGCTATAGACTCATAGGTCTTTGATATTAGTCACTTTTAAACTACTATTAATATAAATTACTCTTATGCTATTGTTTAAAAAAAATAAAGATATTGAAAAAGTTTTTTGATAATTATTTAAACTTAATAATTATTGTTTTGTAATGATAATATATTGTTATTGTTTTTTAATTAGTGTTTGATAAGATGTAATTATTGTTTTAATATTTATTAATAGTAAAAAGTCATATAGTTATATAGATTTTTATTTTTAAAGTTGTTTATATTGATTTTTAATAATGTAATAAATATGTTTTGATGTTTTATAAGATATGATTGATCAGAACTAAGATATTAATCAGTTATCAGAGGTAAACTGATTATAGTTTTTTGATAAAAATTTTTTTGAGATACAATATAGTATATTAAACAATATTGGAAATTATATTCTATATATATTGCTAGTTTCTTAAGCCAATAATATATATAGTTTTAATGTAAAGTTTTAAGTTTTGTATTGAAAAAAAAATTTTTAACAAAAGAAAAAAATATTTAAAAGTATTTGTATAGTAATAAAAATTGTTTTAATAAAAAGTAAAAATAAAAAAAGCTTCAAAGAAAATCTATAAAAAAATAACTGCCATGAGTCTTTTCTTATACAATTAAAAAAAAAAGCAAGAACTAGGGCTCCTAACAATATTACTTTGATACTACTTTGATACCAGTTCGATACTTAAATTTACTATAAAAACATATGAGTAGGTCACAACCCATATATTAAATTTACTATAGATCGGTATCATTTCGATACCAGTTCGATATCAGTTCAGTACTTTTTCGGAACCCTAGTTGGCAGAGCCATTTTAACTTCAAAGAATAACGAAGTTGAAAAAATTTCTGACCTGATTATGAACTGGTTTCCAGGCGAAGTTTACACATATTACAGTGCAGACTTTGTAGGTTTAGAGGATGGTAATGTGGAATAGCCCCAATTGTATTTCCCTAAATTTTTAAGATTCCTAAAGATTTGTGGTCTCCCTCCTGATGAATTAAAGTTAAAAGTAGGAATACCTATTATGCTTTTATGAAATTTAGACCTATCAAAAAGACTTTGTAATGGGATCCGATTAATTTGTCGTAGACTTCTTAATAAGGTAATTGATGTGGAAATTATGACAGGTTCATACATTAAACAACACATTTTCATACCTAGAATTACATTAACACTTTCTGATACCAGTTTGTTTTTTACTTTAATGCAACATCAATTTTCTATACGAGTTGTATTTTCTATGACTATTAATAAAGTGCAGTGCCAGACATTAAATCAGATGGATCTCTATATGCCACAGCCAGTTTTTTTGCATGGGCAGTTATACGTCACTCTATTGAGAATCACTTCTTATTGATGTATCAAAATTCTTATATCAAATAACATAAATAGAAACCAAAATTGACAGACAAAAAATATTGTATATTATGAAGTTTTTAAATAATTATTGTTACACAGAAATGATAATTCTCTAATACAGTCGTAATTAGATTATATTATTATAACAGTTATGATAATATTTCTATAGTTTATATATGAATTCTGTTGCTTTATAATGGGTTAACATCTAGTTTACTATAAATTCATATAAATAAGTTACAACCAATATATTAAATTTATTATATATCAATATCATTTCAATATTATTTCAATACTAGTTTAGTATTTTTCAAAACCTTATTTGATAATCAAATAATCAAGTGGGATGTGATTCAATTTTAAATAGTTTTTTTTGTCTCAAATTGAAATTTATATATGAAATTTTATAATCAAATATGTTTTAGTTTAAAAATCAAATTTTAAGATAAATTTATTAATAAAATATTAAAAATTTAATATTTTGTTTTTTATATTTTAAAAAATATATCTTTAAATTTGATATCAAATAAATAAAATTTTATTATTATAAAAAAATTTGCCTAAAGACTTTTTAAACAAACTATATATTATTTAATTGAAAAACTCTTTCTGCTAATCCTTTTGCCAATCCAAAAAATAGATGTTCTTGAAAAGATTTTTTATTTTTCAATAATAAAGTCTAAATATTTTCTTTAATAATATATATTTCTAAAGGCAACAGCCTCCTCCACTTGTCTATTTTTTCTTCTTTAAAACTCTTTGGATATTTCAGTGACAGAATATCTAAAACTCACCCATTTGGTCTATGGCAAGAACACTTTACTGAAAAAAAGAAACCTGTTAAAAAAATGCTCTCCTCTATTCTTTCTCAAGATCTGGAATTCTAGAAGAGTTCACTAGTAAATATATTTTCCAAGTTTTATAAAAATCTTGGGTCTATCATAAGTGAACCCCTTTGATGTTAAAAGCAAGTGAATAAGCTAGTGTTCTGGTCTGTGGATATAGATATGTGATCCTTTCCACTAATCAAATATCTGCAGCAGTTCTCTCGAATGTGTCAACAAATTTTCAAAAATTTTTGAAAAATTTTGCCTACCTCAGTTTGATTCTGAATTTTTCATTACACTAGAATCTCCAATTGATGATTGGTCAAGATTTTGGATTGGCTGATCAACACATAGTAAAAAAAAGTAAACAAGACACATACTTCTCATGTGTTTCCTGTCATATAACACAACAACAATGATGTAATTGGAGAAAGTAGAAGAGCAAAGCGTTGTAATGTTCTCTTGAATAGAAGTGATTTGATATTTTCTCCCTTCCCTCTTGAACTGGTTTTTTTTCTTTTCAGGATCAAAAGAAGTCTCATCCTAATTTAATAACAAGCTTCTTTTACTGTTAATTATCTCAAGAAGACATCAAACAATAGTTTCCTAAGGTATAAGTCTTGTTTCAAACAATAATTCCTTATAGGTATAAGATTTGTTATAAGTACCTTGAATGTTCTTAATCAGCAATAGAATAGTAGAAATTAAATAGTTTGCCCAGCTGCAGGTGGTGATAAAAGATTTATTCCGATAGATTGAAGTTGATACTGAAGGGTTTTTATTTACCAGAACAAACTTTTCATCTACTCTTTTCATTTTCATTTTTTTTTTAAAAAATAAAAATTTTTTTACCTCTTAGGACCACAGGTTCGTTTGGGGATGACAATCTGAATATAGGCTAACAGTGATCTTTTAAAATATAAACTCTGATGCCTTGTCTTGAAAAGGAGCAATATTATCATTCCCTACAATCACATTTAGAGAATTTAGATTTAGAAAGTTTAAGATAGTTAGTACCATACAGTAATAGCTTAATAAACCTACTCCCTTGTAGTGAGATAGTTAGTAAATAGCTAAATTATGTGGGCAACATGGTGGTCTTGGTATTAAGGATTTAAGGATTATGTACAAATCTAAATTCATTGACGGGTGTTCTGCAAAATTGTGCTAGTTTAGCTTTAGTATAATATCATGTGTATTGTATTATTGTTCTTCAAAAATTGGATTAATAAATGCTTTCATTTGCAGTCTGATTAGAGGCAAAAAAAAAAAACAAACAAACTGTGTATTATTTATATATTATTTATTTATTTTCGGATTTTAAATTAATTTATAGGTGTTTTCTTAATTAATGTTAAATTTGAATATTAAATATAAAAATTAAATGGATAAATAAGGCAACAGTAATTAAATTTTTATTATTAATTTTGCAAGAGATCCTAATTCGCTAGAGCTCGTAATGTTCATGATTATGATGAATAACTTTATAAGGTAAAATAGTAATTGTAAAAATTTAACATTATACCTAAACCCAAACCTTTTAGGGAAACTCATTTATTTAACCTTTGTTGTTCTCGGCTTCTGGATCGCGTTCTTTACTTTCGCACTTTTGCGCTCCACTTTTTTCATCATCATTCTTATTCCCTTCTTTATTCTTTTGTTCTTTCCTTTCTTCTATGTCCTCTTCATTCAGTAACGTCTTTACCTTTTCGAACACGTGTATACACTCCTGGATTTGCTCAATAGCACCAATTGAAATTTGCCTAGCAATATTATTTTTTAGATCGCACATTTCTCCTGAGTTAAAAATAATAAAGAGTAAGAATGATATCGAGATTGGAATAGCAATTTGTCTGTAATACCTTGCATTTTCCTCAATTCATCTTCGAAAGGTTCTAATGACCTTTCTATAGAATCAAGTTCTTTGTCTGTACTAAGTTGCAATTCTTGTACAGATTTCATGGCTATAAGTAAAGATAAATTAAATATTCATATGGTCTTTCTTAGGCGTTAAGTAAGCAGTCATATTTTTTCATACTAATGCAACTTACACAGCTCTAGTTCTCCTAGTATGCGCTGTGAATGGCATATTGGATTGATTAAATAATATAAAGTACAAACAATAACATGTGAATTAGATTAATTACATCTAATTCCAGGAGAAGTTTTGTGTTTTCTTTCATTGATGATTTATTTATGAGGCGAGAATGAGGGTGATCTTCCTGTAATGTCCAAGTAAACGCGACATCCTCTTCTGATGAACTATGTCGTGAGATCTCTTGACTATATGATTGTAGTGGCTCAATGATAATTGCATTCTTTTCCGAATCACAATCATGTTTACTTGAAGATTCAGAGTTGTTATCAATTTGATTATCGGCATAAGTGCCAACAAATAATTTGGTCCTGTTATCATTCGACGCATTCTCATCGGCAACCGTTTGATCTTGAGGGTCAATGCAAGTTGTAAGATCAACGATATCCACGTCCATCACATCTATATTTTCAAAACTTTGAGATTCAAAAGATGAATGTTCAATATCAACAAATTTCACATTCTTTTTAGAATTCTCTAGTTTTCTATAATCCTTATCGTCGTTATCGTCGTCACATAAATTTGAATGAATCTGCTGTACTTTTTTTGTTATACCAGAACTTTCCGCGTTAGTTTTAGCATCATCGCCCTTTTCACCTGAGTCGTTAACGTATTTTTTTGAAGCAAATGAGAAATGGTTTGACGGTTCTAAAGGCTTCTGACGAATAGCACGGGAAAACGGTAACGCGTTTGATGTACTTCTTTTACTCCACTCAGCTAATTTCTCTGGTGTAAGTTTTAAACTATTGGCGTTAAAGCTCTTCGGTATAGTATAAGAGGACATTTCGTTCTAACAAAGAATGTTGTTCACACGGTATTTATGATATGCTTCATAGTTTAATTAATCTAGTTCATTTCGGACTTTCAAAAAATCGATTATCAAGAACATTGTAAATTACAAAAAAAACGGTAATATTTATCTTTATTTATTATTAAACATCACCCAAACTTCCCCTTCAGATAATAACATTTGATATAATAAAAAAATTTTGAAATCTTGAGTATTCACACCAGGAACGAGACCACGCGTTAAAGGTATGAGAAAGATTCACTGATACTCAATGATCCAATGATGAGATCTAGGCGAAAACGCTTTAATCGAATTAAAAAACAATATGCGCTTCATTTAGAAGGTTGTACGATTACGTCAGTAAATAAAATAAACCAGCCCCGATATAGGATCGACTCGGAAAAATTCGGACCGATTAGTAATTAGTGTTCTAGTCTATTAGAACGTAATACAAGAAAAAAGTCCTGAATATATTCACTTTTTTTATGATAGACAAAGTTATATTAAGTATAGTATATTATGCGTGTTGGAAGTATGTATTATGACTTATGAATGCTTTATCAAAAAAGTTTCCTTGAAAGAAAGTGAAAAATGTTAGAAAATATCGCAGAATATTTCAATAGAATTTATTAAAAAGGTAGGAAGATAGTAAAATTAATCCAAAAAAAATGATTACAAATAAAATACCGTTTAAAGTTTATTACAAACTTTATCATAAATGTTTAGGTTTAAATGTAAAGATCACACTGATGAAGAATTTTATATGGTTTTAGGTATAGTTCGAAAAATGCGAAATTAAATTCTAGTAGTTTAGGTTATGCAAGGGATTTACTTGCATAATAATAGTTTTTTTATTTACTTATGTTTGAAATACTGTAGATTAGAATATAACTCGCAAATGATATACGTAAAAATAATATCTTAACTACGTTAGAAATTTTAATAAACAAGTATGTCTTAATATAATATATAATACTAGCGTATTAGCCCGGGCTATGCTCCGGGATTAAAGATATTAAAGTATTTTATATAAAAATATAAAAATTTAAA